AAGACCGATAATGTTACTAGACGAGGGGGGGGGGGTGAGAGGAGAGGGAAAGGCGGTCATTTTGAAACCACATCCGGTTTCTTATCGCAATCCGGTCCATTTTAGAGCGTCTTGCAGTTAAACGCATCCGGTTGCATTATTTTCAGGGCGACGTAGACGTACACGTGCGTATTTTTTCAAGATTGTCAAGTAATGTGTCGTATTTTCAAGGTCACCGATTATTGCGTCTTACATTTACTTTTATTGCGCCGTGCTATTTTTAGCGCTTCTTGGAAATTGCGCGCTCTATTATTTTTTTAACGCTGTTATTTTTATGTTTAAAATTACGATTTACGTATAAATTTAACGTTTTTCTGTTTGCCGGGAATTAATCATTAATCACAGGCTGCTATCCCACGACTGTTTCACTGCTATTATAATTATTCCTATCTCCTATTGATACCTAATCAGCCTTACAGTCCTATATTATATTCCTACTTTTATTCAGTTGTTACGGAGATTAGTTAAGACAATCTCACTGTCGTGCCTGTCCTGTTTTTTATTCTTTTACATTTGCTGGAGATTGCTTGAGACTTGATTCAGCAATGACAGAAATGCAATAACAGTAAAAATTATATTTGTTATTTATGTTTAGTTGAAAATATTCTCCTGCAGTTCTTTTTTATTCTTTCAGATGCTCTCTGTGAGTTATGTATGTAAAATAATAAAATAATAATTTTTTAAAGATTAGATAACTGAAATATGACTGAAATTCTGCCTATTTTTCACTACTGAAACAATCTATCACATTATCTCAAGATTGTGCATTTGTATTAATATTTGAGAAGTGTTAGAGTTGCGTTTGATGCTGCTTTTAAAAGAGATCTCCATGTTGTGGAGATGTTTATTAATTGTTTATATTGCAAACAGCAATTAAGTTTGTTTTCCACCGTGTGCGGAAAGTCGCAAATGAACACAACTCCTCTTGTAATTATTGAATAAAGAAATTAAAGTCTTTTATTTTCAATGTAAAGTACTTTGGTACACAAGAAAAAGGAAAGAAAATAAAGAATAAACTTTCACTGTTTAGTTGATGCATACGATGTATACGTCAAGACTTAACGATATTATACTATACTAAAAACTATAAAATATAGTATAAAAACAAATGAATAATGGGAATGACTTAACAGAGTCATCTATGCCATTGACTGAACAGATAAGATATAATTGCTGAAATGATAACTAAATACTATTACAACAGTTTATGAACAGAACGTTTGGGAGATATTGTGTGTGTGAGACTGTTTTAATCATTGAAATATATACCATACTGGAACGAGCACGCCTTTGTTCTCGACCGGTCAGATGGAGATAGCTGTTCGGACCCGGATCTCTCTATCTAACCAACAGTCTCGGTCACGTGTTCACAGCTACTATTAGTCGAGAGTAGACGAGATAGAAAGAGAAATCCGGTACCGAGTCACTGCCTTGTCTGACCGTTTTGTCGAATGGAGAGGGTAGCCTGTGCGCCTTCCAGTATGGTATATATTTCAATGGTTTTAATGCACGCTGAAATCAATGTTATGTGATTGTTTTCAAAGCGTTTCTTGTAAAGTGTTTAAGTGGCGTTTGAGAATATAGTCTCAAACGTCTCAAATTATAGTTTTCTAATTGTAAGTGTTTGTAAAAGGTTAGGTGTTTGTAACGTGCTTTTAAACAGTGTAATCATCAATAAAACTCTATAAACAGTATAATCATCAATAAAACTTTTCATAAACAAATATAAACACAATCTCTCAC